TCCGGTGCCTTGGACCCCTCTCTCTCTCTCTCTCTCTCTCTCTCTCCTCCCCTCCCTCCTCTCTCTCTCTCTCTCTCTCTCTCTCTCTCTCTCTCTCTGTTTCCCTTGTTGCTCTCTTCCTTATTCGTGTGCTCGCTATTTCTCTTTCTCTCTCTTTCCTTCCTCTCTCGTGCGCCGCGCGATATATCCCTATGTCCGTGAAACCTATCGCCGCGTGGAACGGCGGCGTGGTCCCAAAATGGGGATTGAGAATCGGCAGCCAGTGACGTCAGGATGTGTACACGGAACGGTACACGGGGAGTATCGTTATTTACGGACAATGCGACGGCGAGTTTACATTAGATGTAAAAGTATTTCTGTACAAATAAGGATGCGAGCGCTCCAGACTGGCGCGCTATTTACATTCCAAGTTGCGCCGGGCGGGAAGATAATACAGATAGGAGTATTTTTCTCTTGGTTCGAGTAGCAGTACCTCGGGTAGCCGACGGTCTCTGCGTCAAACGACCGGATTGGTAATGTCCGGGTCGGCGGGACGCATCCGCCGCGATTCAGCAGAAGCAAGCGGCTTTTGCGCGTGAAAATGTCGTTGGTCGTGGGAAAGGTAGTGACGTAGGAAAATATAGCCCTGCCGCGCGCAACGTTTGCGCGATTGCCGGCGGCGGTCGACGCGAGTCGACTGTGGAGCGCGCGGAGAAAGCGGGAGGCCGCGTGGAAAGCGGGCTGTCGCGGCGTGTAGTTTGGAATCGATTTTTGCGCCCGCGCTCGGTGCCGCGTACGCGTAACGTTCGCTCCGCTCACGAGTAGCGACGCGCTCGACACGGGGGTACCGAGCCCGCGCGCAAGTGAAACGGCCTTGGCTGGCACGGCCGGGAATCCTTTGCGCGCGCGCGCGCGCACGCGAGTGCGCGAATCGCTGATTGATCGCCAATACGGATCGAACGAACGCGAAAATGGGACCGCGGGCCGGGTTCTCTCGCGCGAAAGAACGCGCACGCACGAGCGACTCGAGATCCATTCACTCTAACGAACTTGCGGGGCGTTGACTTCTCCAGCGCATTCCTGCGGGGCGAATCACGTTAGTCCGTTTTATTGGCCGCGTCTCTGTTTTCGAAACGATTTAACAACGATTTTTCACGCGTCGCTTATCAAAGACTCGTGAAACGACGACGCGGGGACGCTTCTCTCTCTCTCTCTCTCTCTCTCTCTCCTCCCCCCCCCTCTCGCTCTCTCTCT